AGATCGAAACCATCCTCGCCAAAATGGTGAAACCCCATCTCTACTAAAAATACAAAAATTAGCTGGGCGTGGTGGCACGCGCCTGTAGTCCCAGCTACTCGGGAGGCTGAGGTAGGAGAAACGCTTGAACCCGGGAGGCGAGATTTCAGTGAACCGAGATCTCACCATTGCACTCCAGCCTGGCTGACGGAGCCAGACTCCGTCTCAAAAAAAAAAAATTGTAGGAATAGTACACACATCGCTTTTATCACACTGGGCTAAACTGAATATTATTGCTTACATTTGTCTCCCCTCCACATTTACATTCTCTCTTTCCTTATCAGTCCCCATCTCATGTGCTTTTGTCTGGTCCATAATAAGCAATCAAAAAAATACATACTTGTGAAACATGAAAAGTTAGGGGAGGCCGGGCGCGGTGGCTCAAGCCTGTAATCCCAGCACTTTGGGAGGCCGAGACGGGTGGATCACAAGGTCAGGAGATCGAGACAATCCTGGCTAGCACGGTGAAACCCCGTCTCTACTAAAAAATACAAAAAAAAAAAAAAAACTAGCCGGGCCAGGTGGCGGGCGCCTGTAGTCCCAGCTACTCGGGAGGCTGAGGCAGGAGAATGGCGTAAACCCGGGAGGTGGAGCTTGTGGTGAGCTGAGATCCGGCCGCTGCACTCCAGCCTGGACGACAGAGCGAGACTCCGTCTCAAAAAAAAAAAAAAAAAGGGGGAGACAAGCAGCATGAATTTTCTCATATACAGCATAGTGTAGCACTATATATAGAATGCTGGTCTGAATATTCGACTTTGTTGAATAACTTGCGTGCACTTTAACTGTCACTTCCTCAATGTAGTCGTTATTATTTGAGCCATCTTCCAGCTATGTTTATATGATAAGCACTATTATTCATTTTTGTTTCCCTCACAGTGTCAGTCACTGAAAGGCAAACAAAGTATTGAGTTGGTGCAAAAGTAATAGTGATATTTGCCATTTTTACCATTTAAAAAAAGGCAAAAACCACAATTACTTTTGCACCAACCTAATTAACACTTCAACTCCTTCAAGTTATACAGTATATAAGTAATAAAAATGTTGAGGATATTTAAGTTCAGCTTTAAAGAGCAATTATGAGAAAATAGATTTGCCAAAGATGTCTTTATAGTGTGCACCTTTCTTAAAACTATTACTTGGCTTTTAAAAAATGTCATTTGTATATACTTCAAGAATGTAGTCATTATGTAAAGGAAGTACACTTGTATTAAATGTCAGCCCTTGGCCTAAGAGAGGTGATGAAGTCTCAGGGATGCAGAGTTTATTCTCTTGTTCCTCAGCAAGATCTAGGAAGGTTTCCAGTTAGGACCAAGATGGAAAACCAGTCATCAATAGCAACTTAAGATTTTAACTGGTCATATTTCCTGTTCATAAACTCATTCAAGGGTCTACTTTGTAACCTTTTTTTTCAAGTTAAATAGAAAATATTTAGGGTTTCATGTCTGAGTTGTTACAGTCAAGAGCCACAGAAAACTCTCCCTTGTGCCTGAAAAAAAGGTCATTTTCTGTTTTCCAGTGACAGTAAAAAATGCATTTATATGCTATAATGAATCAGTTATAATTGATTATAACTGATTCATTGTAATCAATTATAATGATTGACATGATTTAATGTATATACATTTTGTATTAGCATTTTTTATATTTGGAAAGATGATGAGACTCAGGCTATGGTTAAATCAAAATCTGGGAAAACCACCTCTTTGGTAGGTAGCACTCGTTTTTGTGATGTAGACATTACCTCCCTATCAGATATCACCACATCTTCCTATATATGACACATACTTCTTCAGGATTTTCTAGACAATTTTAGATTTATAAATTTGGAGCATAAAAAGGTAAAGAAAGACCCAGATCTGTCGGTCAAATCAAAAGTTTTCCTCTCAAAATAATCTTATTCTCTGCATTGGAAACTATATACCAATTTATATGCCAGGCTCATTAACATTATTTGGGAAAATATATGAGGCCATGAATTGGATGAGGAATCAATAGATCTCAATTTTCCACGAGTTCTGCCATTAACTCACAAAGTAAATGACTTTAGTGAAGTCACTGATTGTCCCTAGGTATACACATTGAACAACTCTATGAACAACTCTATAGTCTATTCAATCTATCCAGTTTTGCTGCCTTTAAAAGTATTCTAGAACAGGTAAGATTGTCTCAACTCATTCCAATTTTTCCTTTTTGTCAAAATTCTTTCTGATACCTGGCATCAGGCTGTACCAAACACTAAATTTTAGAAGATAGCATTTCTTATAAACTCTATTTCTCTTAGGTAGTAATTTTTTTTAATAGAATCCCCTGTTCAGCAATTTAACAAAGCTCTGCCTTAATCCAGATGTATGACTCACCTCTCGAGGCCTACACAGTATTAATTTTCCTTGAGAATGCCAAAGGTCATCTCATCCTTGTTACGACGTTTTTTGAGAAAGGAAAAATTCTATCAATATCTTTAAAGGTGCTTTGGAAAGGGAAAGAACACAGCATGTTTTTAAATCTTGCGTTTCAATAAAATAAAATCCAAAGTCCCTTGCTTCATGCCGTTTCACTTGAATAATTTTTAAGCTTGTTTGTTTGTTTGTTTTATAGATGGAGTCTCGCTCTGTCGCCAGGCTGGAGTGCAGCAGCACAATCTCGGCTCACTCCAACTTCCGGCTCACTCCAACTTCCGCCTCCCGGGTTCAAGCGATTCTCCTGCCTCAGCCTCCCAAGTAGCTGGGACATGCCACCACACCCAGCTAATTTTTGTATTTTTAGTAAAGATGGGGTTTCACTATATTGGCCAGCATGGTCTCGATCTCTTGACCTCATGATCCTCCCGCCTCAGCCTCCCCAAAGTGCTGGGATTACAGGCATGAGCTACCGTGCCCGGCCTCTTTAAGCATTTTAAATGGCATTTAGCCAGAGTTTATAATACTAATCCTAATGGTAACACATATACATTCACCTAAGTTGTGTCACAGGTAATGTATATGTTAAAATATCTGCACTAATCCCTAGTTCATATGGATATGCAGAAAACAACACACACATACACACACATCTTTATTTAAAACAAGGGAAAGCACCGTCACTCTTGGGGAAAAAGTCCTCAACCCTTTCCTTAGCCCCACATGATACACAGGAGGCTCTGTCCTTGAACGGTCAACAGAGAATTCTCACATAGTAAGGAGTGTTGATTAGTAATTAAATAATGACATCCACAAGTCAAACTTGAGCTGTTTTAATTAGATAATTTTACACAAATTCCTAGTTAGCCAGATTTATTTGGTTATTCTAAGTGGCCAAATAAATCTGCAACACACCACAATTATTTCTCCCACACATGACGAATAGCTAATAATTTTAAAAACCTATTGCCATACAGAACCATACTTTCTTACTATGTTATGCCCTGGGGGTTAGCTTCCACATGCCACATTTCTATCATGCTTTTCAATGAATTATGCATTATGCAAGTCAGAAAAGTTTAAAGAAGCAAAAAAGTATGAAAAACAATAATTCATGTATTTTATTATAAAAGTGTGCTTTATTATAAGGAAAATTTAAATATAACCAACAATACTGAAAATAATGTAAGTGGCATTTATAGCCTTGGTCAAAGTTCTTTATTAAACAGGCATTTGCTGTTCCATGAATAGTTAACAATTAGTTTATGCAACAAAATAGATAACTTGAAAAAGTGAGTAAGAATACAGAATGATGAACCAGGAATCTGGAGTTCTTTTGTGTTTTTTCTTGTTTAACAGACATGGCTTTTAAAATAAAATCTGAAATATAAAACAAGTTATCTTCATGTAGAGAGCTCTCTTTTCCTACAAGAAGGTTTTGCAAAAATGTTAAACAGTGTTCTAAAAATGTGGCTGAAGTTATACTTTACATACTTTAACTTCCTTATATATACATTATCCAATTAACATTCTAACCACATTTTCATATACAAGTGGGACCATAAACATTCTCTAATAAGACTACACTAGCACAGAGTAATTTTACCCATGTATATATATTCATTTGAAACCTGTTTCCCAAAATGAAATCGCTCATTTAAAAGCAAACAACTGGTTAGAATTAATGTCTCTAGATACTGGGTCATGGGGCCTAGAAATCATGTAAGAGTATATTGCTTTGGTTGAATATAATTAAATTCATCTTAACTGGCAGCATACTGAGCATATCAATGAACAATGAAAATCTAGTACATCTGAGTTAATCCTGCGCTAATTTCAACTATGAGTGTACATTAAAGCAATGGCAAGGCCTAATGGTATATATGGTAAGGGCAGATATTCATTTTGTCTTTATATAGGGTTATGCTCATAAAAATTTGTTTCTATTACTCTAGAGGATGTTTCTAAGAATTAAAAACAAAAAACAAACCATATTGGCTGCTGATCAATGAGACTGTGGGTTGGCAACCATCCTAAGGAAGAACAGAAACCCAAGGGAACAGATGTCTACAAAGGACTGTAATGTGTAGGCCTAGTGAAGAACAAAGAAATAAACTGTGAGCATGCTGATAAGGATCCCAAATTATTTTTAGGACAGGAGAGATTTTTTAGGTGTAAGATCTTAAAGAATATAAAACATGTCGGATCTTAAGTTTAAATCACTTTTTTAAAAAAAACTTTGTGACATTAAATGTCAAGATCAAATTTTTTTTTTTTGAGACGGAGTCTCACTCTGTCGCCCAGGCTGGAGTACAGTGGCGTGATCTCAGCTCACTGCAAGCTCCGCCTCCCAGGTTCACGCCATTCTCCTGCCTCAGCCTCCCGAGTAGCTGGGACTACAAGCGCCCACCACCATGCCCGGCTAATTATTTTGTATTTTTAGTAGAGGCGGGGTTTCACTGTGTTAGCCAGGATGGTCTCGATCTCCTGACCTCATGATCCGCCTGCCTCAGCCTCCCAAAGTGCTGGGATTACAGGCGTGAGCCACTGCACCCGGCCCAAATTTTTAAAGATATAGAATACGGAGAACTGCAAAATAAAAAGAGGAAGCAGATATATGCTTGATGAGGGAAAAATACGTTAATGATCTCTCATCTAAAAGACTCTTTTCCTTATTATCATAATGACTAAATTGCCTGTCCATAAACCCACTGGAATATTCATGTAGGTTACTGACATTATGCCAATGAAGTCAAAATGTACTTTATTGCAAAAATATAAAAGTTTTAAAATTGCGTATGATATTTTATACCATTTCACCAATAGGCCAAGGCCAGCACATAACTTATCAAGCTAGAAAACTTTAAAACAAAAATGATTAAAATGTTACTGTGTATAACGAGTTATAAAAAAAAAAAATGTGATGCCATGCTGTGTAGCATGTTTAATTGCCAAGTGCCCTCTTACATGGGGATAGTCACTAATATCTCAGTCTGAGTAAGTAAAACACATATAGCCTATGATAACATCCTTTAATTATCTTCTTAAACACAGATACTTTCTATATATTACAATCATTTTAATAAACCTTTCGGTCATAATTTTGTGGAGTACAAAGTCATTTTATCAGTATGTTGATTTTTTTCTGAACTACTCTTTAGGAAGTGATGTTAAAGCCTATTGACTATTAAATCACTACTGTTTATTGATACGTTGTAAATGTAAAAAAAGGAAAAAACCTGAAATCACAGAAAATGCTTGGCATCTACACAAACACATTCTCAGTGGACTAACCACTACTGTGTAATTTTGTCACTATAGGTCTTGCTCCATACTTTTGCTTCATGCAGTGGGTTCAACAATATCCATGTTTGTTCCAAACAGGGCAACTAATTGTTCTTCATAGGTAGCGATGTTCCTTTTCATAATTTCCATGCAAGGTCCCAGAAGCCTTTCAAATGCTTGCACATCCATTGCTAAGAAAAGAGAAGATTTTTTTTTAATAACATTCTTTGCAAATCAGGAGAATTTCTAAGTCATTACAATTATTTCTAAGTCATATACAATACATTCCATATATATCAATAATGCAATGATATTTTAGGTAAATACTATAAAATACAAGAAAAAGCATAATGATAAAAATGTTCCACTTGAAAAAGGAAGCAGCCAGGGCCACACTCTGCAGTCCCTTGGCAATATGATGAGCAATGCTAAGTTGGTGGGAGGTTCCTGGTCCAAGCTGAGAAAAGAATGAGGGACTATCATGGAAAGACCTTAGAATTTTAAAAAATAAATGTGCTGTCTCCACCTTAGCAATGTGTACTCCTCAAAGATGGCACAGGAGTGTTTTCTATCCTGTGTTCCCTTCTCAGGTTTTAAAATGCCATGTTGTGAAGGCCAGGTGTTAACTTTTGTAATTTTTGCTCCCCATACAAATTTGGATCCCTATGCAATCCAAAAATGGCAGCTGACATAATGCTTCTGTTTACTTCTATAAGTACATGCTAGATATCATCAAGAATAGGGTGAATGGGCATTATGGCACTGCTAGTAGCATGTAAATTAGTACAAATAAAAGTAATCTGGCAAATATGTGTCAAAAGTTAATTTTTTAAAAGCCCACTCCTGAAAACCATTTCTAAGGAAAACTCCTATAATACAGAAAAGCCTTCTATGCACAAAAAAATTGGTCCCCACCAAAACGTTGGAGCCAAAACCTTCAAAGTATTTACCAGTGAGGAATGATTAATTTATCATGTATTATTTACCTAAAAGAATTTTAAAATTTGGTGTAACAGAATAAGAACATTCCTAAGCATAGTGAACTTTAAAAGTTGTCTGGAAAACTGTTTAACAACTGGAAGCCCACACAAATAAAAAGGACAAGAAGAAATTACAATAGCAGAAATCACTGAGTGGCAGTGGTATGTATTTTCCTACATTTTCTGTATCTCAGGTTTTCTTTGATGTGAATGTAATAATCTATTATTGAAAAAAATTAACAGAATTTCACTCACCTCACCTTTACTCTTTCTAATAGCTCTACTTAGGGAAATTACCTGTCAGTTTCTAATTGTCTTCTCTTCCGTCCAAATTCAACACTTGATTAATATTATACTTATTTAAAACCTTTTAAAGAATGACTTCTCTAAGAAGTTAATTCTAAGGATCCTTGCAAATCTTGAAAACATTAAAACTAAGTTTATTCTATTGAATTATGGATGAAAAGCACAGAGAGGGTAATTACTGTGGGATCAATTTTCTTAAAATATTCACCATATTGCCACCTCCTGAACTATATTTTCTTATCAAAGTAAGTGATTTCTCAGATATACAATCTCAGATATACAGAGATGTCTGCACCTGAAGACGGCATTTCTGCCAAGCTACTCTGGTAAAATAGTAATAACGACTGAACAGCAAAGAACATTTGACTGTGCTTTGACAAACGTGAACCTTTGTTTCCCAGTACTCTAATGAGTAAGGATTCTCCCAGCATCTCAGCATTCCCCGCAGATCTTAATAATGGACTTTATAAAAATAGTACCTTAGCCTTCTCTTTTGAGGAACATAGTACATGTTGCTTATTTGAGAGATTCCATATAAAACGTGGTACTTGGAATTCTTATTTTAATGACAAATATGAGATGTTATTTCATATATACACAAACGAGCAAAATGTACCTGGATGTAAAAATTTCAAAGAAAAAATGGCTTCCACAAATTAATTTTGTAAGGCAACGAGTCCTAATCTTGTTACCTTTTGTGGGGACCACAAAACCTGTGAACCCAATAAAATGATTCATTCAACATGAATACATAAAATGCAGACATAAGTTCAACCAGGAGAAGCACGCTCACTGTTGCAATCCCTACCTAAACATTTGACAGTCCCGATGGCGTGCGCAGAAGCTGCTCGAGGTTTGTTAGTTACCAGGGCAAGCTCTCCAAAGTACTGTCCCCGCGAACATCGAGCGATTTCTACCGCACCATTCTCTTCCACTTCTGATTTACCCTGACAAGGCAATTAAAAAGATGAGCTTTTCCTCGGCTTATGAAAAATAAAATTAACCTCAGTCTAAACATCAAAAAGTAAATCTGTTGTGTTCCTTGCTAACAGTATGTAGGCTTTGAGGACTTACAATGCTTACCTTTCTTTTCATAGTAATTTTCACTTCTCCAGATTCTACAATGAAAAAAGAATCAGCCGAATCTCCCTATCAGAATAACAAAAATAGACGGTGAAAATGCAAATTAACTGACAACAATCTTGTTACCTTTCATATCCCTAAAATTGATCCAACCCCAAAGTACAGATATTAACCTGAAAAGTGAAATCCCATGGGAACAGGCTATCTCAGTTTCTAAATCAAGAGGTTTTTTTTTTTTTTTGAGACAGAGTCTCGCTCTGTCGCCCAGGCTGAAGCAAGCTCCATCTCTCAGGTTCACACCATTCTCCTGCCTCAGCCTCCCGAGTAGCTGAGACTACAGGCACCCGCCACCACACTCGGCTACTTTATTTGTATTTTTAGTAGAGACGGGGTTTCACTGTGTTAGCCAGGACAGTCTCAATCTCTTCACTTCGTGATCTGCCCGCCTCGGCCTCCCAAAGTGCTGAGATTACAGGCGTGAGCTACCGCGCCCGGCCCTAAATCAAGAGGTTTTGATGGACAATTATGTAGTAATGATTTCATTTGTAGAATTATTTGAAATAATACTCTTTTCCCCCCGAGATGGAGTCTTGCTCTGTCACCCAGGCTGGAGTGCAGTGGTGTAATCTCAGCTCACTGCAGCCTCCACCTCCTGGATTCGGGTGACTCTCCTGCCTCACCCTCCCAAGTAGCTGGGATGACAAGCGTGTGCTACCACACCCAGCTAATTTTTTTCCCCTTTTTAAAAAATTTTACTTTAAATTCCAGGATACATGTGCAGAACATGCAGCTCTGTTACACAGGTATACATGTGCCATGGCGGTTTGCTGTACCTATCAACCTGTCATTTGGTTTTAAGGCCAGCCCCGCATGAATTAGGTATCTGTCCTAATACTCTCCCTACCTTCACTCCCCACCCCGTGACAGACCACAGTGTGTGATGTTCCCCTCCCTGTTTCCATGTGTTCTCATTGCTCAGCTGCCACCTGTGAGTGAGAACATTCAGTGTCTGGTTTTCTATTCCTGTGTTAGTTTGCTGAGAATGATGGCTTCCATTTTCATGCATGTCCCTGCAAAGGATCACATTCCTTTTTATGGCTGCACAGTATTCCATGGTGTATATGTACCACATTTTCTTTATCCAGCCTATCACTGATGGGCATTTGGGTTGGTTCCATATCTTTGCTATTGTAAATAGTGCTGCAATAAACATACGTGTGCATGTGTCTTTATAGCACAATGATTTATATTCCTTTGGGTATATACCCAGTAATGGGATTTGTGGGTCAAATGGTATTTCTGCCATCAAAAAGTGGGCAAAGGATATGAATAGACACTTCTCAAATGAAGACATTTATGTGGCCAAAAAACATATGAAAAAAAGCTCAACATCACTGATCATTAGAGAAATGCAAATCAAAGCCATAATGAGATACCATCTCACACCAGTCAGAATGGCAATTATTAAAAAGTCAAGCAACAATAGATGCTGGTGAGGCTGTGGAGAAATAGGAACGCTTTTGCACTGTTGGTGGGAATGCAGATTGGTTCAACCATTTTGCAGGACAGTGTGGCAATTCCTCAGGGATCTAGAACCCCTATTTATTTATTTATTTATTTTGTATTTTTATTAGAGATGGGGTTTCACCATGTTGGTCAGGTTGGTCTCGAACTCCTGACCTCAATGTGATCCACCTGCCTCAGCCTCCCAAAGTGCCGGGATTACAGGCGTAAGCCACTGTGCTTGGCCCTGAAATAATATATTCTCTACCACCGTATTTCTGCTAAAAACCAAGAAAATGTGACAAATAACACTGGGGTAAGAATTTCACCCAAATTTCAGCCTAGATAACAGCATACATAGTTGGAAATGGCAACACTGCTGTGTATGCCAGCAGCATCCCCTTAGTTGGCAGAAACATATCTGCAGATCCTGAGCTCCTTAGGAAGTGCCAAGACGTGCACCCTGCGTCATCCTAACATTGCAAGCATTGGCGTGGTGACCCAAGATAACCCGTCAACTTGCAAAGAGCAGAAAGCACCCAGATGGAGCCAGAAGCAGCAGATGTGGGCCTTGACATTTTCACTACAGTCAACTGAGGACCAAACTCTGACATGCTAGCCTACTGACATTCCATTTCAAGGCACTGGAAGGACTTCTAAAAGAGAAGTGTTGCTATTTCTACCCATATATCTGTTCTTTCTTGTTTCTGTTTCTTAATGAACTCTGCCTTGACCTCCAGTGATGCAGTCTGAATTAAACAATACAACATGGAAGATAATAATACAGACACTGACTTTTCTAAGCCTCTCAAAGTGATTCTGGAGAAATTTAAAATATTTCAAAATTCTTTAATACAAATTCAAGAAGTTTAGCATCTGATTCTATCACAAAAATAAATGTTGAATTTAGATTTTTAGAATACAGTGTGTGTATATGTATATTTATAAATGCTTAAAAGACAACAAATATGTAAAAATATCCTTAATAAACCCTAAGTATAGCATATGTCCTTTCCCTTATTTTTATATCAGGTTTTCATAAAAGCTTCATATTAAGTTTTTGAGTGTTCTGAATCATACTAAGTCTATTAACTGCTGAGTAATTTTTAACTATTTTTAAAGCATGCCCTAAGAACTGATGAAAACTGAATACGGTCTGTGAATTATGCCAATGTCATTTTCCTAGTTTTGATATTGTTATTAATAGTGATGCAAGATGCATTAGGAGAAACTGGGTGAAGAGTACACGGGACCTCTCAAAACTATTTTTGCGACTTCCTGTGAATCTATAATTATTTCAAAATAAAAACCTTTAAAAATCATTTAAAACATGCTCTGTGCTTTCTAATTTACCAATTTATATAGTAGAACTTTAACTTTATTTGACTCCATTTCTTCCCAATCCCTGACTGCTGTAACACACACACACACGCAGCAATGGGAGAGGGGTGCTGATTGAAAGATTTACTTATGCATTTGTCTTCTAAAATAATTATCTTTTTCTCAATCTCAAAGACCTTGAATCTTGTTTCCCATATAAAGGAAGAGACTGCATTTCAGATAAAGAGCACAAAATAGTATAAGGCTGTGATACAAAAATTACAGTATCTATTAAAAATCCATTTTAATCATTTGCTCAGTGCTTCACAAATATAACTAGGAAACAAGGTACTATCATCTGCATGCTTCACCTATGAACAGTCTTCACAAATTCTACTTTTAGTAGCCCTACTCCAAGCCAGGTATCTAATATTATTGGTTCCAGCTGGGATCTGAGAAAAGTATTAGGGATTATATAGCATGTTGACCCACATGTAGTGCTTGGAAGCCAAAACATTATATGTTGCAGTGTGTTCCCTTCTTGGTGACTTTTATCAAGGAGCAGCCTCAGGAAGTTTCATCATGAAATGATCACGCAAAACTCTACAGAATTTTCCAGTGTACTTTCTGGGTCCTCACGGAAGATTCACCTGTTTTTTCCTCTTATAAATGACTACAATGATGCAGAAAATCATTTGATGGTTTAATACATATTCATTAAGAGTTAATTACATAAAAATATTCAATAGCGTAGTAACTATAAATGAAACCATTTTTAACAGGTTATTTGGTAGAAGTAATATTTATTTAACCCATCACTGCATACTAGTTTTAGAAACATGAAAAGTTTATCAAGATCTACAACTACACAAACCTTTTGGAAAATAACCCTAAACTGAATTAGATTTCAAAATATCATACCTGAGCAATGATTTGTTCTCCATCGTTGTATACTTTGGTGCCTATCACATCTACTACTTTCAGGCGTTCAGAAAACTACAAAGAAAGAAAGACAATATTAAATAGAAACAAATTAACTGGGTAAGCTGATCTATTTAAGAAGTAAAAAACTGGTAGCCTACAGGACAAATAAATTGAGCAGTGTGTAGGTTGTTATGTGTTTGTTGTATTATCAGTCAGCATTTTAAAATAAATTTTTCATAAAAATTGGATCTCCAGCTTCTCTTGAAAAATCAGCATCACATAACCCACATTTCCACATGGCAACAATAACACTATGGTGGGATAGCAGCTGTTTCTTTAATGAAATACATGTTCTCCAATCTGCCAAAGTCCCTTCCTGGCTTGGTTTTCTTCTCTGTGTTACCTGCCTAGCTTTGAAGGCACTGGATTTCCAATCCCTGACCTACTTTTATTTAAAGAAATATGCTGCTGGAAAAGATCAGCTGTCTACCACGCACTACGTGATATGGACAAAACTTCTACCAGGCGTAAGCTGATAATCCAACAGAGACATTCAAAAGGAGAAGCACAGCTGTTTTGACACTTGCCATTTTACAAGACGTTGTGGGTACATAATGCCTGTCTTTAATTACTCTCAAAATATTTCAAATATGACAGTGAAATAGAAAAGCATTTAATTTAATGATAAAGTATGGAAAATGAAGCTGAATTTTTAGAGTAACAACAACCTATTCTCTCTCGTTAAGTCTCTACCTTCAAAGATAAAAACCTAAGAGCTGTTCTCATTGAGACGACATCTGGGCTAAGAAATGAAGGAGCCCTGCGGCCGTGTAGGAAGGCATTCCACACAGACAGCAAGTATGAAGACCCTGAAGTGGGTGTGGGACAGGTGTGTTTGAGAAGTGGCAAGAAGCTGATGTGTCTACAGAGAGATGATGAATGTGGAGCAGTAGGAAATGAGGTTGGGGAAAATGGGCAGGGGAATGGGACAGACTGTGCAGAGCCTTAGAGGCCATGTGAGGAGGAGCTTAAACAGAGCAGGGCCACAACCAGGGATTTTAGAAGATTATTCTGCAATTAACCAGGCAAAAGGTGATGGTGGTTCAGATAAGTCAGTGCTAACTCGAAGGTTTCTGGCCTGAGACACTGGAAGGATATGTTACCATCTGCAGGGATAGAGAAAAGGAGTAGATTTGGGACATACTAGGTCTGAGAGGTCTATTAGACATCTGAGAGGAGATCTTGTATTTGCGGTTGGATAAGTAAGTCTGACCTTCAAGGGAAGGGCCTTGCCCAGTGACACCAATTTTAAGAAGCATCAATATATGGACAGTACAGATGGTCCCTGACTTACAATGGCTCAATTAATGATTTTTCAACCTTACAGTTGTTTGAAAGCGATAGAAACTATACTTCTAATTTTGAGTTTCAATCTTCTCCCAGGTGATATGCAGTACAATGCCAGGCAGACAGCCACAACACCCAGCCAGCCTCACCACAATGAGATGAACCCATGCTCTCCAGTGCACTGTGCTGCCAGGTGACTGTTCCCAACTATAGGCTGATGTGAGTGTCCTAAGCATAGGCTGAGCTAGAATGTTCCATAGTTTACGTGTATTAAATACATTTTCTATTTATGATATTTTCAACTCACAATAGGTTTATTCATAAGATAACCCCAGTGTAAGTCAAGGGACATCTGTATTTAAGGCCATGGGATCTGACATGTTCACCAAGTGAGTAAGTGTATCCTGAAAAGAGAAGAGGCCAAGGACAGAGGCCTGGAATGCCAGTTTTAAGAGGAGAAGAAAAGAGGAATAAACAGCAAAGACGACTGAGAGGAAGAGGCCAGAGAGGACATCTATCTAGAGAACGCCTCCCTGTAAAGTTACAACTAGTGGCTCTTGCCTACATCTATGTGATTGTATGACGTCTGCTATTAGATAAAGACCACATATACATGTGCTATAGATGCGGGCTAGGAATGCAATTATACAAAACAACTTTCAAATAACAAAACAAATGCAATTATAGATAGCAGAAGAAACAATGAGTTATAAAAACTAGCATTACCACTTAATCTCTTCAAATAAAAACATGGATAAATTTTTTTTATTCAAGGAAATTTTTCTATAGAACTAAATATTCCTAGCAAAACACAAACTTTTAAAGCAAAATAAAATAAAAGTATAAACATGCACTTACCTCCAAAGATTTAAGGAATGGCAGTGACTCAATAAAGCTTTCATACATTTTTCTCTTTTTGGCATTGTTTTTCACAATTATTCTCCTGAAGGTTACCCTGTCCTAAAGGCAGAATATCAAATAAAAGACAGTTAAAAGGTAAATTTTATGGGGGAAAAGCTATACAAATAGTTTTATTTTATTCCCTACAAGAAGCAATGATTGAAGATTCTGAAATAAAAGATTAACATCAGCATATTTTTAATGCAACTCATTTCATATTTTTATTTCATCAAGCACAAAATATAATACAGAACCCCATAAAATACTGTTTCCATTTTTTTTTTTTAAGGAAGTATGTTTACTTTCATACATAACAGAAATCTGACCAACATGTTGGGCTCTGCCCACAAGGAGGCGCTATCACAGCATTTTTTAAAATATATACTAGCACTGTGTTCTTTTACTCTGTGTTATGTACTCTATGTTCTTTTTCATATCCACATTATGTCAAAATTTTCTTTTTAAAAATGTGGAGATATGCCCAAAGAAATGATAAATGCTTAAAGTGATGGCTACTCCATTTACCCTGATGTCATCATTATGCATTGTATGCTGTTATCAAAATACCTTATGTACCCTGTACATATATACACATACTAGGTATCCATAAAAAAATTTTTTTTAATGTGAAGGCACAGAGAAATTACAACTATGTTTTTGAGTAAGATCTAATTCCAGTGTTTACCATGTTCACAGTCTAAAATGTTCCTGTTTATGTTTATACTACATGCCCTCAAAAATGCAGAACTCGGTTGAAGAACTAGTAAAAATTTTAAGGATACAGCTCAAAAAATTATTTTCCTAAAAATTTTATTTTAAATAATCTCTCATAAAATATTTTAATTCTTTAATAAAAGCCTCAATAATTATGTTAGCTTGGCATTCATTAATAAACAATTATACCATTTTAATAAAGTAAAAATTGGGATATATTATTTAATAAATTACTATGCAAACAATTTAATATTTTTTAGTTTTATTTTTAATTTTTGTGGGTACATAGTAGGTGTATATTTATGGGGTACATGAGATATTTTGATACAGGCATGCAACGTGAAATACGCACATCATAGAGAATGGGGTATCCGACCCCTCAAGCATTTATCCTTTGAGTTACAAACAATCCAATTACACTTATTTTAAAAATATACAATTTTATTATGTGCTACCAAATACTAGGTCTTATTCATTCTTTCTTATGCCACCATAGTAAGGCTGAATTTAAACGAACTAGTGCAATAGAGAAAAAGGCCAGTATAGATGAAAGTCTCTAGGTGCGATGGGCTGCAACTCAATGTTTCTATCATTCTAAAATCCCTCTGTTGAAATCCTGATCACCCAGGATAGTATTAGGTGGTGGAGTCTTTGGGAGATGGTTAGGTCATGAGGGTGGAGCACTCATGAATCGGATTAATGTCCTTATAAAAGAGATTCTAATGAGCTCCCTTGCCCCTTCCACCACGTGAGAACACAAGTAGAGGATGTTGTCTGTTAAACAGGAAAACAAGCCCTCCCCAGACCCGAATCTTCTGGTGCCTTGATCTTGGACTTCCCAGTGTTCAGACGATGAGAAATAAATGTTTGTTGCTTAAGCCTCCCATTCTGTAACAGTTTGTCACAGCGGCCCAAAAGGACTAGGACACTAGTAAATTAAACATCTTGTTTCCCAATTTGGTATTGGCTGTAATTTGGACTTGTTTTACTCCTAATACTTCTTTTAAAAGAAAATTTTACGATAATTAGCACAAATATTGAAATTATTTCCAAGCCTAGCTCTGCATCAGAATAAGCTAGAGTACTAAAAAATATTTCTGAGACACCAGACTTGAATGACTCAAGATCTCTGCATGTAGGGCTCAATAATGTGTATTTCATAAATGCTCCCAAAGTGATTCTAATATATAATCAGGTTTGGAAATCAGGTATAACACCATTTTTATGGACAGAGTTTACTGCAAAACAGAGAAGACTCAAAATAGCTTAATGGTTTAGAAACTAATCATAATCAGTTATATCTCTCAGAAAGAATTTACCATTAGTAACCTATCTCTTCACACCCAGTGTGACATATAAAGTCCAGAATTTCAAATACTTTCATCCTGAAGCCATTTCAACAATCCCCCTTCCAAATCATCAGTACAGTCACATAGATCATGTTACCCCTAAGGCTAACAGTGACCAAATATTATTTACAGAGTGAGGCTATACTGCAATGGACTTTTCTCTTGGGCTTTTTTTGCTTATCTTTACACTTACATTTATAAGGCAGACCTCCAGTCTGTTGACCTTAAAAGAAAAATTTCTTTTCTACTCGACTCTCCCTGAGAAGGAGTTATTATAGTCAAGTCGCCCTTAAAAAGCAGGCTTGAAATACTAAGTAATTATGTTAATTATCCTAACATTTTTAGAAAGCTATTATACATCAGGAGGATCATGACAAACTGCCCACTTTTATAAAATTTAGTAACATGTATAGACAACTAAAAATCTCTGAAAATGCTTAATCCTTCTTAGGAACTTAAGTAGTACGTGGACTAGGAAATTCTGGGTCTTTTATACCCAATTAAGGTTTCTACAAGGGGTAAAAACTATCAGTATTCAAAAAGGCCAACCTATAAAATCGTTGATCTTATTCTGAAGATGTGCAAGGAGGCAATTTCCTCACTGTGTGACAATCTGAATCTGAATGGCAACCCCACTGGAATGACTACATTTGAAAAGTAAACCTTCCTCAATAAAACAGGTCACGGCAGATGCTAGATTTATCCCACTGCTTTAATGACAGGCAAACAAACACTTCTGTGGGTGAAGGACTGTTCTGGTTTGGAGTTTTTTCTTTGCTGGCTCTGGGTATGCAAATCGCTGACAGTTCTTAAAACACTTCAGATGATGAGTTTCCTGCTCCCTGAGACAACTCAGCTTTTCTTCTAAACCTTAAAAAAGTGACTCATCACATTTTTAAATAAGTATATAATAACTGGTTCTAATTAAAAGAAATGTAAAATGTCTTGTCTCTTTGATCAAGAGATATTTTTATCAGCTGAATCGACTTCAGAGTCAAATGCTGAACTGTGACTAAATAATGTGTGACTTCTGTAATGCTATATACAGTCGTCCTTGGAAATGAGACTGTTAACAAACTTCACATTTACTTCAACCTCTTCTCTTTCCACAAAAGGATTTGAGAGAAATAACCCAATAAATGCATGTCAAAACTAGTGGGTGAGCTATTTTCAACAATTTTAAAAGAAAATACATATATTGTAAACATTTCCCTAAATCGATGCTGTTTAAAGTTTGGCCTGACATCAGGCAGTACTGCCACCTCCTGGGAGCTGATGAGAAATGCAAAAATCACAGGCCTCACCCCAGAACCACTGAATCAGAATCCACATTTTAACTGGATTCCCAGGTGATTTGGAAGCACATTAAAGTTGGAGAATCACTACCTTAAATACAATCTTCCAGAAGCAGCTTTAGTAGTGCCTAATAATTTGCATCCTATCATATGTGAAAATACTGCCCGAATATATCTTTAAAACAGCTTTTAAGTCTTGCAGGAATACCACATTAAGAAATATATTTAAAAGTACTAATGCCCAGGTCCCAGTGCTGAAGATTCTGATAAATTTGCCTGTGGTGGGATCTAGGTAAAAGGATTTTTAAAAAATACTCCAGGTAATTCTGATGTGGGGCACATTAGCACAGCGACCAAGCATTTTTTCCCTACACATCTGCTTTTAAATGCAGAGCAGTTACCAATAAATTTATAGCACCAAGAGCATCCTTTTATACTGATTTCTCAAACTCCAAATTTCTGATGCAGTAGGTCAGAATCAGTGGGTGGGGCCCCAGAATGGGCATTTCTAAAAAGTTTCCAAGTGATACAGCTGCCAGTGTTCACAGGACCACACTCTGGGAGCCACCAATTTATCAGATTATAATACTTACTTCAGAAAGCTATCTGAGAAAAAGTACTGAAGGTTGTGTTTGTATGGCTCGTTATTTTCTAAGAGTGGGTAAGACAGGAGCATTCTGAATCTGAGTGTCTTTCCTGGGCCACCAGGTCCCAAGATCCCGACTGGACTGGAGGAGTGGGGGCAATGACACGAGGATCTGAGTGCAGTCTTAGTGCCCTACAGTTCAGCATTCAGTGGCTGCTTAATAAATTACCTGATGACTGATGATCTTTAAATTAAAATACTACATGTGGCAATGTGTAACACTGTCATAGCAATTGCTACAAATCATAACATTCAGGTCAAATAAATATTTTACTCACCAAACCCCACAGAGCACCAGGAGAGGTAGCAGTGATTGTAGCTGCTCTGGGTGTATTGTACATTAAGGCCAGTTCGCCGAAACTCCCACGATTATCATAGTTACCAACACATCTTCCGACACCATCACATTTCACATAAATATCATATGTGCCTCTGTTGGACATATGTAGATTGGAGGTTAATTCAAATAAAATCTCATTAAAATAAAACATTATTTCAGAAAAGAGCCCTGTGAAATAAAATCGTATTTCCAGCCTGTTTATCCCCTCCGATGACAAGTAATAAAGGGGAATCCATCTGTGCCATCTGTTCCAGACCATGTGCCTGCTGGGAAAAATGGAACTAACCAATAAAAATTTGGAATAACAAATGATAAAACTATAACTAAAGACTATAACCAAATAGTATATGCATAAAAAACCACCTGGAGAGGCCAGGCCTCACGCCTGTAATCACAGCACTTTGGGGGGCCGAGGCGGGCAGATCACCTGAGGTTAGGAGTTTGAGACCAGCCTGGCCAACATGGTGAAACCCTGTCTCTACTGAAAATATAAAATATTAGCCAGGTGTGATGGTGGGATCCCATAATCCCAGCTACTCGGGAGGCTGACGCAGAAGAATCGCTTGAACCCGGGAGGTGGAGGTTGCAGTGAGCCGAGATTGTGCCACTGCACTTCAGCCTGGGCGTCAAGAGCGAAACTCCATTTCAAAAAAAAAAAAAAAAAAATCATCTGAAGAGGCTGGGTGTGATGGCTTACTTACACCTGTAATTCCAGCAATTTGGAATTCCAAGGTGGGAGGATCACTTTAGCCCAGGAGTTCAAGACTAGCCTGGGCAACATCGCAAGATTCGATCTCTACAAAAAAATTAGCCTTAATAAATGAAAGAAAATCATCTGAAGAAACATTTATCAAACCACTGACTATAGTTATCTAAGAGCACAAGAATAGTGAGGGATTCTAGGCACATTGGCTATTTAAGAGTTTCTGTTTGTAACATGAACATATTATTACTTTTGTGATCAGAAGAAAGTAACTTTTTAAGAAGAATCTAGCTATAGCAATTTGGTTAGCCACTACTCTACAAAACTTACTAGTGTCCTTTATAATCTATGGCAGAGGTTGGCAAACTATAGCCCACAAACTGGCTATCTGCTTTTGTAAATAAAGTTTCACTGCAATTATAAACACTCTTGTTTGTTTATGTGTTATCTATGGCTGGTTTTATGCTACAACTGCAGAGCTGAGTTGTTGTAACAGAGAACATATCGGCCTGCAACGCCAAAAGTATTTACTCTCTGGCCCTTTACTTTAGATCAACCCCCATTCTAAAGTTAAAAAGTAGAAATTCAGACTAGATATCTAACTCTAGTCTTTTCACAGTTTTTTGGTGCTTATCTTTTAACTGGGGTTCTTTTTCTAGGCAAATAAGGTTCAGTTTGCATGTCACTGCACTTCGTATTACCCAGACCCTATATTCATGTAAACTGCATTCTTCGTGTGGATGACTGACTTTCCACATACTGTATTTTATCAGAGAACATGCTTTCAAGGCTTGCACCTATGAGGGCAGACAGAAAAAATTCTTTGGCTTATATTCTGTTGATTAAACCCTAACAAAGACAAAGGGTGGGGCTGTGTTGCTAAAAAAAAAAAAAGTGGCTTTTAACATTAGAAAATTATTATGCCCAGGCCTGGTACCTCATGCCTCTAATTCCAATGCTTTGGGAGGCCAAGATGGGAGGATCATTTGAAGCCAGGAGTTCAAGACCAGACTGGGCAACATAGCAAGACTCTGTCTCTACAAAAAACTGAAAAATTAGTCAAGCATGGTGGCACATGCCTGTACTCCTAGCTACTTGGCAGGCTGAGGCAAGAGGATCGCTTAGGCCCAGGAGTTCAAGGCTGCAGTGAGCTGCAACTGCACCACTACACTCCAGCCTAGGTAAGAAAGTGAGACACTCTCTCCCTGTCCCTCCAAAAAAGAAAGAAAAGGATTATTAATAATAAAGAAGCAATAAGAGCAGAAACATGATAGACAATAGATATTATTACTAAGGAAGAAAATAATTGGTTTCACGGCCAGACCACAGTGGCTCATGCCTGTAATCTCAGCACTTTGGGAGGCTGAGGTGGGCAGATCACAAGGTCTGGAGTTTGAGACCAGCCTGGCCAACATGGTAAAACCCCACCTCTACTAAAAATACAAAAAAACTAGCCGGGCGTGGTGGCAGCCACCTGTAATCCCAGCTACCTAGGAGGCTGAGGCAGGAGATTTGCTTGAACCCAGGAGGGCGGAGGTTGCAGTGAGCCGAGACCACACCACTGCACTTCAGCCTGGGCAACAGAGCAGATTCCATTTCAAAAAAAAAGGAAAAGAATTGGTTTTCAATGTAATTCATGGATAGAATGACTGTTTTGAGGGAAACTACTAGAATTTGTCCCATGGATAATCATTTTTCAAGTACAGGTTGAGTTTCCCTCATCCAAAATTTTCAGAATCAGAAGTGTTATAGATTTTAGACATTTTCAGATTTTAGAATATTTGCATATACAGAATGAGGTTATCTTGGGAATGAGACCTAAGTCTAAATACAAAATTAATTTATGTTTCATATATACCTTATACATACAGTCTGAGGATAATTTTATTTAATATTTTAAGTAATTTTGTGCATGAAACCAAATTTGTGTACACTGAACCATCAGAAAGAAAAGGTGTCATTATCTCAGTCACCCATGTGAACAATCTGTGGTTGGTTCAGCATTACCATCATTCCTGACTCTCAATTTATATGCTACCAATAAGCCATCATTTTTTACTTGTATTCACACGTAAGTACTCAACAGTAAAAAATATGACATACCATTAATACAATAAAAAATAATGTGTTTGGGGTAACTAAGCAGCACAGCAGCATCCCCAGAGTACCTGCACCGGCTGCCAAACAAGAGCAACCACAAACAATGGCAGGCCTGCAGTCTCCACCTACAATGCTGTGTTCTGATTAAAGTTACTGTACGTCATACACTAACCCCTTCGGGGATGCTGAATAAGCTGTTGTGTGCCTGCATTTTGACTGTGAACCATCACATGAGGTCAGGTGTGGAATTTCCACTTGTGCCATCATGTTGGCGCTCAAAATGCTTTGGAGTTTGGAGCATTTCAGATTTTCAGACTAGCAATGCTATAGATTAAACTCCTCAATTTACTAAACTATTTACACTTTTGCACTGAAACTGTTCTCTACACTCACTACTTTGAATAGGGTAAAACACAGCAAAATGTGCTGAGGAAAAGTAAAATGAGCTACCAGTACAGTTGAAATCACATCAGTCTAAAGTCTGTTAAAATACCGCAGGCTAGGCCGGGCACACTGACTTACACCTGTAATCCCACCACTTTGGGAGGCCAAGACAGGCAGATCACCTGAGGTCAGGAGTTCAAGACCAGCCCGGCCAACATGGTGATACCTCGTCTCTACTGAAAATACAAAAATTAGCTGGGTGTGGTGGCAGGCACCTGTAGTCCCAGCTACTACGCAGGCTGAGGCATGAGAATCGCTTGAAACTGGGAAGCAGAGGTTGCAGTGGGCCGAGGTCACACCACTGTACTCTAACCTGGGCAACAGAGCAAGACTGTGCAAAAAAGAAAAAAAAAACCTTGGGCTGTTTTTTTCACACAGATTTCTTCTCTGATAATGTGAGGCCTCAGGCAGGGCAGAGCCCCAGAAAGAGAATGAACAGGGCAAGAGACCTGGCTGTGGAGTTGGCTCTACCCCAGTCATTTGGGTGATCTGAACCAAGTGCTGTTACTTCTGTATGCCTGCATGTTTTCATCTATCAAATGGGTGACTAGGATCTAACTGAAAAGGGAATAGACTATATACAAGTGTAAGGCAGTTTTGAAAGTCAAAAATCCCCACTAAATGATTAAGATCGTAGAGGGTTAGGGTTTCTCATACACTTCTACAATTAAACACACTTAGGTGCATTTCTGAGGTGTTGCACCGATGAAAGCTATTCATGATATAAAAATCATTATTTTGATTCACATATAGATAACTGGTTTATTCTACTCTAAAATCTTGGCTAATGCTTCAGTCATAGGTCACCAGGCATTAGGGATGAGGGAATGGGACAATCAGTGAAAACTCTTGATTTAAAGAGCATGAGCGACTGATGCATGAAAGATACCACCCACAGAGCCAAAATAATGAAATGAGGCTTCAGGAGACCAAAGAGGTCATTTTCACCAAGACCTCTGAGGTGAACACAACTCGACCCAGAGAGAAAACATAATCCAGTGAGTCAGGCTGGGAGAGGACCTGCGTTCCACACAGAAGGGGAGGGGTCAGGGATGCGAACACTCATCATTGTTTTACAAAAGTGAAGAAATAAGGAGTCAGCTCAGGCTGCGCTGCTGTCAGATTTTAGGATTCATCTATTGCATAAGGCACATTGTTCTATGATGAGGTAAAGCACAACTTAAATTTCTTGAAAATAGATTTTCAACATAAACGTAAGATTTCTTTAAATAATTATGGAGTTTTTAAGACAAATATAATAATATATAATTCTTGGAAGGATGCACAAACTACTCACTATACAGACTGGATGATGTTGAAGCAGCAGGAAGACAGACTTACTTTTCACCTTATGCCCCTGTGAAGTATTTGCATTTTCTATTTTTATTTATTTATCTATTTATTTATTATTTGAGACGGAGTTTCACTCTTGTTGCCCAGACCGTAGTGCAAATGGCGCAATCTCGGCTCACTGCAACCTCCACCTCCCGGGTTCAAGCAATTCTCCTGCCTCACTCAGCCTCCCAAGTAGCTGGGATTATAGGTGTGTACCACCATATTGGGCTAATTTTTCTTGTATTTAGTAGAGACGGGGTTTCACCATGTTGATCAGGCTAGTCTTGAACTCCTGACCTCAAGTGATCCACCGGCCTCATCCTCCCAAAGTTCTGAGATTACAGGTGTGAGCCACTGCACCCATCCAATTCTGAATTTTTTAAACCATGAGCATGTTTTACATAGTTAAAAAAAAAAAAAACTTTTAAGAAATACCAATTGAAGTCTACTGTGAATTAACATCTTAGATGCCATATTATACTGCTGTTCTTACTGTAATAGGCATCTAGTACATACTAATGCCATCACACATCTCTCAATTAGAATTTGGCAAATGAAGATGCTCACGTTAAATGACTGACATTTACAGATTAGACTAACCAAAAGCCATCAGTTCCTCTATAACCTATGCCTCTTTTCATGATCCACTGTGGCTTCACTGCATGTACTCACAACAGGTTTACAGTGCCTACTATGTAGTAATTAGAGTAGTGGCAATAACAACTATCCTGTATTAACCTGTCAGTTGCCATAATTATGGTTGAGATTTTACACAAAAGGTTCTTTAAATTTCAATAGTAAGGCTGGACAAAACTTACCTATCAATTACATAAAAGTTGTCACCATCGTCACCTTGATCAATTACATGCTCCCCATCTTTGACCAATTTTTCAAACATGGCATCTAATACTTGAGACATCTGCTCCTATTTTTAAAAAAGATGGGATACAATCTTTACGTTTATCTAGGACATGTTTTCTTAAGTAACCATAATTATATTTCTGTGAACAAGTCCAAAGAAATGGAAATATCATAACTACCATTAAATGTTGTCAGAAAAATACATAGTAGTCTTTCTTACCACATACAAATAATTATATTACAAATATATAAAAATGATTATATACTTTCATATTCAGTATTTGAATGAAAGTAATTATAATTAGTCTGTTTCAGAATATTTGCAACTATCATCACTTTAAAATGAAAATTTAACCACCAAACCACCACATACCTTGTGAAATATAATCTTAGCAACTAAAAGGATCAGGTTAGTAAGGAATTATTTCAAATTTCTTTTAAAGATACCCATTTTTAAAAACTTCCTTAGTCATCACTAAAATCTGTGTACAGATAACCTAAATACTTGGTGAATTTAGATCCTGATTCCAATCTTCTTTTTGGTTTAGCACCAAAATAAAAACAGAACAAAATAGAAAAACAACAAAGCGAACCAAAAATGACTGTGGCAAATAATATGTCACTATTCACTGTCACTAAGGTTGGCTTCAAGCTGCAACCACTGGGCTCACTAGGGCAGATTTGTCAGAAACATCCAAAATATTATTCAACAACTAATTAAACTATGTAAAATGTTTATTCTGCCAAAGTGTGATTGACAAGGCTCAAGGATAAACTTCAAACTAATAAGAATAAACTAGGAGGTGAAAGAAATCTTTAATCAGAACAAATACCAGAATAATTCAAAGAACTTCGAAAAGACAGAATAAATGGATATGAGGAAATAATACAATATAATGGAAATCTAAAGACTTAGAGGGTTATTTGTTCTGCTACTTATTAGCTCTGAGCCCTTGGTCAGGTCACTCCTTATAGGTATACAAAAGGTGTAATGCTAACTGCCCATGCCAAAATCAATTACTATTATACATGAATTAAGGAGCTGAAGATAGATTCAAAGCGGAAAAAACATGCAAGTGGAAAACACAGGTTGAAGAAACAAGATATTCTGGATAGAGAGGATAACAGATCACATGTGATTCTCTTCCTTTTGAGACCACATGAAAATGTTACAAGGCATATGAAGATATGAATCTACAATGGTATAGAGTACAGGAAGGGAAAACTGATGGATGAGAGAGTTTCAGGGCGAAGGTAAGTAATATGTGGCAGAGAGAGCTGCCCCAAGTAGCACAGGTGAGACTGCAGTGTGGAGGGGCCAATATGCCTTGTGGAGCACCAGGAGGCTCCCAAGTGGGTAACACCTGGCTCTGCCGGCGTGGGACTGAGACACAAAGCTAAAAACAAGCGGACTGATTTAAAGTCCTGCAGAGATTAGTTGACACCTTCCTTCAAAATCCCTCTACCCTAATACAGAATGCCTAGCAGCCAAATGTGGACTCTCAACTCTTCCCAGACAAAAGATCAGAGAGAAACTAAACAAATTAGAACTAGAACAGATATGGTGAACACTGGTGCTCTAGAACAAAAACCTTCACTTGGTAGGACTTAGGGGTTCCCCAATGTAACAGCTGGCTCCCTGTCAGCTCAAGCTAAACAGTGCACTGGTTGACAGACCTGCCCTACTTACCCAGAGCTCTAAATCAGCTTTATGTTGCTCCCCTGGTAGCCCACAAGACTAAGATAAACAGCAAAATGACAATACATGAAATAGATATTTCAGGAATCATAGAGAGCTTTTGCAGAGACATTTAAGATGATATATCCATGAGACCAAAAAACAAAATAGGATAGTTAGGAAAAGAGCAAATCAGAGAAAAATGTGTAGCTTGGAAATCAAAAATATGATGGTCTTTTTTTTTTTTTTTTCCTCCTTTAAAACAGATTTTTTTTTGGCAGGGTGCAGTGGCTCATGGCTACAATCCCAGCACTTTGGGAGGCCAAGGCAGGCAGATTGCTTCAGCCCAGGAGTTTGAGACCAGCCTGGACGACACGGCAAAACCCTGTCTCTACCAAAACAAATAGCTGGGCACGGTGGTGCATGCCTGTAGTCTCAGCTACTCGGGAGGCCGAGGTCGGAGGACTGCTTGAGTCTGGGAAGTTGAGGCTTCAGTGAGCTGTGATTACACCACTGAGTTCCAGCCTGGGCAACAGAGTGAGACTCTGTCTCAAAAAAATGAGCAGTCTCAGCTACTCAGGAGAGGCCGAGATTGGAGGACTGCTTGAGCCTGGGAGGTTGAGGCTGCAGTGAGCTGTGATTGCTCCACTGCACTCCAGCCTGGGCAATAGAGTGAGACTCTGTCTCAAAAGTAAAAAATAAAAAATAAAATAGACTTTTTAAAAGCAGTTTTAAGCTCATAGGAACATTAAGCAGAAAGTACAGACATACTCCACATATCCTCTGCCCCCTACACATGGCACATACTCCCCCATGATAAACATCCTCCACCAGAGTGGCAAGTTTGTTACAAGTGATGAATCTACACTGACATCATTATCATTCGAAGTCCATAGTTTATATTAGGATTTGCTCTTGGTGTTGTACATTCTATGCGTTTGACAAATGTATAAAGACATGTATCCACCATTACAATTTCTTTAAAGGTAAATAAAAGAGTAAGAAGATAAATTACCAAACACCTCAAAAAAAAAAGTCAATAAAGAGATGAAAAGAAAGGAGTGTCAGAGACAGTAACAGAGAAAACAAAAAGGAGGAAATATAAACAATACAGGATGAATTTTGTAGACCCAAAGGACACAGGTTTTCAGACCAAAAGGGCACACTCAAGTACCCAGCACAATCAATGACCATAAATCCCCACACTAGGATGAAAGAATGTGTTTTTAGAACACTAAAGATAAAAGATCTGCAAAGCTTCCAGAAAAGAGAAAGGGGGATTCTTAGAAACATGAAAAGTTACTCAACTTCTCTCAAAATGAAGAGAAATCCAAATTCAAATCGAAATGAGATGCCACTTTTCACTCGCCAGATTCAAAAAGATACAAATGTTAGAATATCACACTGTGTTGGAGACCGTGTGGGAAAAGAGGCATTCTCACACAGACTTCTGGTGAGAAGGTAAAATGGAACAAACTCTAAAAAAGCAATTTGTCAAAATTTAATAAAATTTCAGATATGCATAATCTTCTACCTCACTGTTCCTTTTCTAGGAAGTTATTATATAGCTATTTATAAAATGCATCACCATTTTTCTTTGCATCACAATAGCAGAAGACTGGAAACAAACTAATAGTTTATCAACAGGGCACTGGATAAATAAACTGTCATAGATTCATTCACCAAAAAGCTCTGCTGCTGTAGGCATATAGGGATTTTCAGACACCTTTCTTTCAAAGGAGTCACTGGCAGCAAGAGAACACTAAAAGAAGGGTAATCAAGAAATGTGAAAACCTGCAATGGGGGAATTTCAGAAAATAAGGCATTTAGGTGACAGAAAAGAAGACCTATATAAGAATACATCAACTATCTTCTGTTCAAACCATGACATCAGTAGTTCTAGAGGCCATAACTGGGACTGTTGGGTGGAAGTTTCATGAAGGTTTTGGCACAATGTAAAGACCTGCCCAGGAACGAGAGCTGTCTAGCAGTGACAAGGGCTGCCTTGCAAATAATTTTGCCTTTTCCAGAATGTTAAATAGTTGGAATCATGCAGCACACAGCCTTTCCACATTGGCTTCTTTCACTTAATATTATGCATTTAGGGTTCTTCCATGTCTTCCATGTCTTTTCATAACAAGATCACTCATTTTGTCCACTGTCTAGATGTACCAGTTTATTTATCCATTCACATACTGAACAACATCTTGGTTGCTTCCAAGTTCTGGCAATTTTGAATAAAGCTGCTACAAATAGCTGTGTACAGGTTTCTGTGTGGACCTAAGTTTTCAACTCCTTTGAGTAAATACCAAGGAGCATTACTGCTGGAGAGGATGATAAGAGTATGTTTAGTTGTAAAAGACACCACTAAACAATCTTCTAAAGTGACTGTACCATTTTGCATTCTCACCGACAATGAGTTCTTAAACCACCTATGTTCACCAGCATTTGGTGCTGTCAGTGTTCCGAATTTTGGCCATTCTAATAGATGTCCAGTAGTATCTCATTGTTGTTTTAAGTTGCATTTCCCTGGTGACATGTGATGTGGAGCATCTTTTCATATGCCATTTGTGTATCTTTTTCAGCGAGGTGTCTGTTAACATCTTTGGTCCATTTTTTAATCTCATGGTTTACTACTGTTGAGTTCTTTGTATATTTTGGATAACAGTCCTTTATCAAGCTGTGTCTTTTGCAAATATTTCCTCCCAGTCTGAGACCATCTTTTCATTCTGCTGACATGTCTTTTGCAGCAAAGAAATTTTTAATTTTAATGAAGTCCAGCTTATCAATTCTTTCTTTCATGGATGTGCCTTTGGTGTTACATCTAAAAAGTTATCACAAAATCCAAGGTCATCTAGATTTTCTCCCATGTTATCACCTAGGAATTTTATAGTTTTGTATTTTACATTTAGATCTGTGGTCTATTTTGAGTTAATTTTTGTGAAGAATATAAGGTCCATTTCTAGATTCATTTTTCAGAAGTCTAGTTTTTCCAGCACCATTTGTTGAAAAGACTATCTTTACTTCATTGTGTTGCCTTTGCTCCTTTGTCAAAGATCAGTTAACTTCATTTAAGTGGGGCTGTTACTGGGTTCTCTGTCCTGTTCCACTGATCAATTTGTACATTCTTTTGCCAATACTATACTGTCGTGATTACTGTCACTTTATACTAAGTCTTGAAGTCAGTTAGTATTAGTACTTTAACTTTGTTCTTTTCCTTCAATATTGTGTTAGCTCTGCTAGGTCTTCTGCCTCTCCAAACTTCAGGATCAGTTTGTTGGGATTGCAGTGAATCTACAGATCAACTTGGGAAAAACTGACATCTTGACAATACTAGGTCTTCCTATCCATGAACATGGAAATCTCTCCATGTATTAAGTTCTTCC